GACGACGTTCACGCCAGCATCCGACAGCATCAATGCCAATCGATCAACAGGAAAAGCCACGTCCAGCGGCATCATGGCTGCTCCCACCTTGAGCGTCGCCAACAACCCAATGGGAAACTCCAGACATCTGTCCATGACCACCGCCACGCGACTCCCCACACACACGCCCAGCTCCGCCAACTGGCTGGCCACCGTATCCGCGTGGGCGTTCAAGTCCCCATAGGTCAGCCATTGGCCGTCCAACTCGACCGCTCGAACGTCGGGGTGTTTCGCAGCTCTGGCTTCAAACGCATGGTGCAGCAGCTCAAACGGCAACGGCACCGTCGGGCCAAACGATGCGCTGCGAATGAGCGCTGTCTGAGCTTCAGACAAAGAGGTCAACTCTGAAACGCCAGTGTCAGCCGTGGCTTCTGTGCACAAGTGCCACAACGAGTGGTCAAACTCGTGCAGAATCCACTGAGCTTGGTCCCAACTGATGTCGCCAGGGTTATACAGTGCGTGGGCGTTTAAACCCGTCGGTGTTGGTTCCACGATCAGCTCAAAGGTGTACTCCTGTGACAACACTGTGCTAGGGTTGGATGGCTTCAACATGGACCAGCACCCGTTGTGGTCTGTAGCGGTGGGAGTGTTTTGAAACGCAAACAGCGAATTCATCAACTTCACGCCTTCCACTTGACTCCACTTTTTGATGTCTGCCAGACTTGCATGGGCGAACCGAGTCATCGCCCCACGCTCCACTCGAATGCTGTCTAACATGGACGCCAGCGACAGACTGTCATTGAATTGCACACGGCAAGGCACGGTGCTCACGAGTGGGCCCAATATCCTAGTCAAAAGTCAAACATGGTTGGGTTGGTTGTGTCCACACCTGTCGACGCCATCCACTGGGATGTCTCGATTCGCCATCACTTGACCAAACACGACGTCGTCCTGACGCGTGTACTTTCGAACGGTCGCAGCCCAAGCAAACTTGACAAACTCTGCCGTGGTCACGTCCAACCGACGGGCGGCCTCGTGGACCTCCTTTAAGCTTGCCTTGGATGTTAAAGAGAGCGAAGAGTCTGAGTTCTGAAAGGCTTCATTCCAGTGCCCAGAACTGGTCGATGAGGACAAGGGGGACGCCACAACACCACGGAGATACGACGTCCAGAATTCCTGCGTTGCAGCCTCGTCTTGGGCTTGGACAAAGTCCACAACGCGATGGAACCCAGGTCGATCCGCCAACTGGTTTCCGCGTACAATGTCCAGCAGATCATCCCACAACATCGGCACAGTCCAGCCATCGTACAGAACATGATGGATCGTCATGACGCCGTACGTTCCGCACTCTGTCACGACACCAGTCCACCGCACAAGCTGGCCAGTCAGGTCAAAGCCTTTGGCCAGGTCTTGCTTTAGGAACGCTTCCAACGTCGGGGCGGCTACGTTGGTGATTTCAATATTGCTCGTATCTGGTCGAAGCACTTGAAACAGTCCCGCAGACGTTGTGACAAACGACGTCCGCAGCAGTTCGTGCCGCTCGACAAGGGTATGGAAAGCCCACTGAAGCGTGTCCAAATCCATCGACTCGCCCAGCTCGACGGCGCTTTGAAGGACGTACGAGTCGCGATTCAGCATCGTTGCGAGCAGCATCCCGGCTTGCAGGCCGGTCACAGGGTACACGGCGCAATGGCTCCACTTGGCCAGACTGTCACCTTCTACAAGTGACGTCATCACCTCGGGGGTCAACATGGCACTAGGCCAAGTCTGGCTGGAACGTGACGTGGCAACCTCAGCCACTCGCCACAGAACCATCGCCTTCAACAGGTCGGACGCTGTCAAGTGCAACCCAGCCTGCTTGCTCGCCGCAATCACTTTGACCACGGACAACGAGTCCCCCCCGAGTGAAAAGAAGGACGACTGGCGACCAATATCACCCACGTTCACCCCCAAAATCTTCGCCCAAATCGCCGCCATTTGAGCTTCCACGTCCGTTTGCACGGTATCAACCACGTGGACCACCTCCAACGCCGCCAGCGCCAGCTTGTCCACTTTGCCATTGCAGTT